GTGTGTGTGTGTGTGTGTGTGTGTGTGAGAGAGAGAGAGAGAGAGAGAGAGAGAGAGAGAGAGAGAGAGAGAGAGAAAGAAACTCTAGCTATGTCCTGAGGACCCTGCCACTACTCGAGTCCTCCCAAACCAGGTCATAGAGGTAATTGCCGTGGTTCACTGTACCATGGAGCTCAGTTTAGTAGCTGAGTTTCCACATTTGCTTTGCTCCCCAAATGCATCACTGAGCACCAAACCATCTATCGAATTTCTACTTTTCCCTCTATGCCATAAGGAACCAAAATGGGAAGGAGGTTTCTCTTGCCTCGCCTCCCAGGAACAATATGCTCTAGAGTCTGCTCTCCTTCCCAGAGGCTTCACTGGCAATTCCTTTTGCGTTTTATTTTTGTTTCTCTTAAGTTATTCTGTTTTCCAAAAGCAAGCCACACTACTGTCAGTCAGGAAGCAGGATCAAAGCCTACGGGGCTGCCCTTCAGAGTCCTAGCTGTTCTAAATAATACCTCTTCCCTGTCACCCTTCACATTTGCGCCCAGAGCTGCAGATCTGGAAACACCAACGAGGAGGATTATTTAGGTTATTTCAGCAGCAGYTTTTCGACCACCCACATTTGAAGTTGACTGAATTCATACTTAATGCACCTTTGCTTTACGCTTTGGTCAGATGAGCTACTTTATGAATATTTGAAAACGTTCCTAGAGGCAAGGATGCTAAAACACCATCACAGACACACATTTTTGCAAGACCTCATTAACTAATAAAGAAATAGCTAAAAGAAACGGGATTAACTTCACAGGAGGGGTGTTGCCGTCCTGGTCCTCCTCCCAGCTAGGCTTACATAGCTGCTCATTTATCATGATCTGTCTTGTTTTATCAGGAAAACTCAGCTTCTTGGAAACATACAGATCTATAAATGCTCAGGAAAACACACACCCAGAAATGATATGCTAAATAAATCCCCACTTGGTATTCTATTCCAAAGCAATTTAAAGGTGGCTGGGCTGGAACACATTTGGGGAAGGCAAACGTAGGGGAGCTGTTGGCTGGTCAGGTTTGCCCAACCTCTGTGCTCCCACTTTGCCTGTGGCTATTGTGGTATTGGAGGGGGTCAAAGTGGGGTCCACTAGGGGTCTAAACTTGTWAGTTTCTGATTCTGTTACCCTGGGAGCCCCTCTGTGTCTCAATTTCCTTTTCTGTGAAATGGGGATAATATTGACTATTTTGTAGTTATGTAATGAAAATCACAGGAGATAATGGCAGTGAACACTATAAACCGTAAAGAATTCTAMGATTTTTAAGCAATGCCTCCACAGCCACATCAATGTTTACAGCAGCACAATTCACAATAGCTAAACTGTGGAGCCAACCTAGATGCCCTTCAGTGGATGAATGGATAAAAAAATGTGGCATATATACACAATGGAATATTACTCAGCATTAGAAGAGAATAAAATCATGGCATTTGCAAGTATATGGATGGCATTGGAGAAGATAATGCTAAGTGAAGTCAGCCAATCCCCAAAAAACAAATGCCGAATGTTTTCTCCGATATATGGAGGCTGACTCATAGTGGGGTAAGGAGGGGGAGCATGGGAGGATTAGATAAATTCTAGATAGGGAAGAAGGGTGGGAGGGAAAGGGAGGG